TGTACTGACAGTGATGTAAAAATGAGAAGAAAAACTTTTATGCTCAATTTGGCGAGAGAATTGGTGCTAGACCATATGAAATTCCGGGTGTACAATGAAAGGTTGCCACGAGAACTAAGAATGATGCTCACCAGGGTTCTTGGCCAAGATCTACCCCTCCTCCACCAATTATTCAATCTAATCCACAAAGTGCAAGAAAATTGTGTTCAACTTGTCCCCATAAAATAAAAAGGGTAACAAGGTATTGCTGTTGTGATTGCTTAAAGCCAATTTGCCTCCAGTGCTCTAAGCCTTTGTGAAACCTGCCAGGAAAGGTTGTAGTTTTTATACATATATATATATACATATGATCTCAAGTCTTAAGACTGTTTAACTTAAGTGCACATTAAGCAAAATCTAAAATTTTTGCTACATAAATTATAACATGAAATATTTTTGTTTGTTAAGTTATAGGCTTTAATGTGCAACTTAACATTTTTCGTTACTTTTTTTTACCACTGGATTTATTACTTTTTGTTATCAACTGTTAAATTGAAGTCTAAATAATAAAAAATTAAAAACATTTGTTAAAAAAAAAATTATTTTTGAGTTGTTTTTTGCTGTTCTAATATACGTCTATGTTTTTTGCAGAAAAATCATGCCATATCGATAAATAACACATAACACCAATTTTCGCTTTGAATTAGAAAAATAGCTTTATAAATAATAACTTAAACTTATAAGCAATAAACAAAAATGGTTTTATTAGTTTTACAAAACGGAACTTGGAAAATATAAGACATAGAAATGTTGTCTGGCAGTCTACCACGTCATTAGAATTGTTAGAACTATATCACGTCAGTCCCAGAGGGTTAAAGGGTGTATTGTGTAAGTAAGATTATTTCCGACCTGACAGCAAGGCTTTGCTTTCATAACGTCATTACGTAAATAATCAGTTACATTTATTTCAACTGCTAGTTTTATTGTTAATTTTTCACTTAAACATCATTATTAGATAGAAGTCGTACATATTTGCTCTGCAATTACATAAACCAGTTAGTCCTCAAATTTGGGGGCAGGAGATTTAATATTACTATAATCCCTTATTGGCGAATAGAACTGAAATAATATTTATATGAGCAACCAGATAATAATAAATATCTACTTTTAACCTTGTATTGCTTTTCTTTATACTCTTGCCATGGCTCGGGATTGGATGAACGATTCCAAGTTACATCAGGATTTCTTGTAGCTAACCGCATAGTGTAATATACTGCTCCAAGTGCACCAGCCCCGACGCACACATATAATGGGATTAACTGTACCAAAATTATGAAGAATGGAGACAAATGGCAATAGTTAACTTACCGCAGGATTTTTTTTTAAACTCTGTAATCCTAACCCTTGCATCCTATAGTATTCTCTTTCAAGTAACAAACTATGTCTTATTTGATTCTGTTATGCAACATGCTTCGAGCTCACGCATGTTAAATGCTCATCGATTATCGATACAACTTACTTCAATAAAGTACGATATCGCTATCGATATACAGAAAACTGTTACCCGGGCGAAACATATTCACGAAAGTACTTGTATGGTAAGTGTATTCAACTAAGTGAAATTTGTCACTACAAGAAGGGAATAGTTAAGTAACACTACGTTCGGACTAACATTGAAGACATCTTGAAAACACTTTTGTTCGTTATGGAATCTAAGTCGTTTAGACCGACAATATGGGTTTTCGATCAGTTTTCTCTGACAACCCACAAATTTATTTGTTTGTTAACATTTCGAGCAACGAGAATGGTAAATTTTAGATGCCTTAACCC